CGTCATCCGTGATTCTCGCCTTTACCCATTGGGGTCGCGCGTAAATTTACGTTCGCCGGCGTTCTTCCAGGTTAGGCGACTTCCTCATTGCCGTTCCGCGGTATCGCGACACGGAAATTCGTTATCGACCGCAGCCTGCGAAACCGCGGCGGATTTATCGGCCGCGTTCCCATGCGGCGTTGACAATTCACGTCAAATAAATTCGACGCCTCCTGCAACGAGTTGCCTCAACATTGTATTGTCTAAAGTCTCAGCGATCAAACTTGAGTAAATTGTATAGCAGTTTATTGTTTCGGAGACAACGCGTGTAATAATTCACCTTCGACGGGGCTTACGAAAGTTTATTGATTATGTTTCGGTTTGGAAGAAACAATTTCAGTTGCGATGAATGGGCTTGTTTTGTGGGAAATTGATTGAGCGGTTTGTTCTCTGGGATGTTATATATTCTGAGATGAAGCAATTTGAAGTTTGACTATGGTTAAATAGGGAAAGTTAGTAAAAAGCGGAAGGAATTCTATGTATTAATCGTAGGTTAAAAATTCTATATTCAAACTGTAATTATATTTAAAGAATAAACTGTATTCGCAGTAATGTCTCAAAATTCGTAAAACCTCAAAATTCGATTAATTCATCGTAATGTGTAGCAGGTACTTAACTCGTGAAATAAGTAATAACCTTGGAAGGTAAATAAAGCTGGTTTGCTGAAATCGTCTATTGTATAGGAGACATGCTCGAAGAACTAAAAAGTCCGAGGAAGGATATTGTATTACGAAAATTGTGGCCATAGAAAATTGAGGGCCGATTCTCCACGCTCGTTCGTCTCGAAGTTTAAGGGTAGTTCGGATATTTATTTCCGTTTTTTCAGAGAATATTCCTGTCCCTTGTCCTCGTACAAAGCGGTCGTGACATGTGACAAGGCGGGACATATTTTCGAGAGGCACGATTCGCCTGGACCCGAAATTATGATCTTCCCTACCACGGTTTCCCGTAAAGGGAACTTAAACGGGACAATAATGGTTATTTATGAAATCGTTGAATGGCGATTGGGGCCGGTGTCTTCGGCGCGGAACATTGCTCAATATAGCGGAAAGGGAATAGAAACCATCACGAGGCACTGATCTCGAAAGAAAACTCGGGACCGTGGGCTACGATCGACGACTGGAATGAAAATTGCAAACTTATGGCCTCCGCGAACCTATTCACACCGTTACCTGGACCTCCTCGTACTCGAAACGCAGCTGTTTTACTGAAAACGTCAGAATTTGACGCAACAGTCCTCTTCTCGTGAAATTATGAGGTATTATGATCAGAGGAACAGTTCTATTGAAAAATTAAATTATTAAAATTTAAAGAAACCATTGGAAACATATTTTGTACACTTGCATGATCATTGAATTGAATGATCGAATAATATAAAGGTAATATGAAAATTTCTATTAACAGTTGATGATTCAATTGACAGATTATCATAGGTGCTATATTATACGTTATAACTGTTAAACCCGTAAAATATTGTGTTGAAAATATTATACGATAAGGTGACAACAACTGTTAGTTGAATGGTAATGTAAAATCAATCGAATAATGATTTATCTCGTCGTAATACCGGAGATTCAATTTTCATCACAACAGATATTTTTTACTGTCAAAACCGCATCAAAATCAAAATTGATCCTTTCACCAGCTTTCCAAAGAAAGTAGAACGCGCTGAACTTTTGACGAATTTTACGATGCGCCACTTTGTTAACGTGTACCGATCGGAATCACGCGCGAGAAAATGGTTATCTGGCACCGAAAATTATTCACCGGTGGCAGACTATGAATTACGAAGCGCGGTAACACGGTGAGATCGATTTTGTGCCTTTTCTCGCGAGGTCGACGGTTACCGATCAAGCCGTTACACCGATCGGTCTTCGTATCGTAATTAAATCGTATTTTCAGCTCGGTAATGGGCCATCGAAACACGCACAATGTTTCACTGGACGTCTGTAACCTTGTACCGTTAATTTACTTTTCAATTTTCGACTCGTAAAATAATGCAATTTATTACGATGAACGATGACGGAAATCACGTTGATTCATTCGTCGATCACATTGATTGATTCCTTTTAATGGGCTCGGCTCATCGGTATTCGAGCGTGTGCCCTTATCAATACCGGATCGCGCGTCCAATCTACCGGCGAAATTATCGTCGAAATTATGGACAGTGGTTAATTCATTAAACACGCGGCCAGAAGTATTTCAATCATACCCCGCATTATTTTGTGAATTATTCGGGAAATTACAGGCCGAGCAACCCTTTTAAATGTACCCTGAAAAGAGAACAGCCATTCCACGTACGACGATAATGATAATGATGATGGTCATCATCACGATGATCTTGATCACCGCGATGAGCGTACTTAATTGTACATTGTCTGTAATTATGGTAATAACCGCGTCTCAGCGTGTACATTATAGGCGTCGTCGAAATTTCTCGTTGAATAATAGATGAAAATATCTCAGGGTAAGTAAATTGTATGCAGAGGAAACTCGCTTGCCTATACCTCAACCGATATTTTATCAATTCAATATCCTTTAACGTCACTACAAAGTTTCAATATTTCTACGCGTTAACCATTTTTACTCGAAACTAAAGCTTAATATTCGCAATATTAATATTATACACGAAGATTTTCCTTTCTACTTATCCTACAAAAAATTAAGAACGTCGAAATGAAAAGTAACCAAATGAAATGTTATTTAGTTCGAAGATGAACATCCATCACCTACCCGTGTCGTCGTAGTCTCAGAGATACCCCTCTTTTCCTCCCTTCAAATCCTCAATTATTCTCAATATCCTTCCCTGCCTCTCCAACTTCATCATTCCCTTTGCTCTTTTCAATTCCACTGCACTCACTCCATTCTGCGTTCCACGGACGTCTCCCTGCGCCTCGTCCTCTCGGCCTCCTTCCTCCTCTTCGTCCGACTCGCTCTCACCCACGTCTCCCTTTGGCCTTCGTGTACGAAGGGTACGGTAGGATACGTGATTACCAGCAGCCTCCGTGGCAGCAGACATCGGGCAGAGGTTAAGGGTCGTCCCGCCTCGGCTTACCGGCCAGGCCGCGAGTAATTGCAGCCGACTGCAATCCCGGAAAACCGCATCCTGCCTCGGTCCACGGCGAAAAATTAAGGATAGTCCAGACTGAGAATCTTTGATAATAAACTATCCGCGTATATTATCTACGGACAGTCGAAAGACCTCGACAAGTGATTTATGTAGATTGTCTGTGTTAATAATTAAACCAGGATTAAGATACAAAATTTATTTTTCAATTTGAAGATGTAATATTATTCCTTTTAAAGTATTTTACACATTGTGTGTTCTTTCAATGAATTGGGAACTATTTATTTTACCTCTATCAAATCAAATGCCGACATAATGGCGACTTCGAGCTTCCATACCTAAACTCGAAAATTGTAAAGCGATAATTTAATTATTTAAATAACAAGATATTTATATTTTCTTAATAAAAGGAGTTTTCAGAAGTTCAACGAATTATCATCCCCAAAAGGGTTGATGCAACTGATACTCAAACACTCATGTAGTTGTATTAAAATAATTAGATGCATACATCAGCTAAGAGAAGGTAACATTAAAACACCCGTATAATTAGCTCTCGTTTTCTCCTGAAAACAGAATATATGTTTATCAGCGAACTGGCTTAAAACCGTTTCATCCCTCGCGATCGACAGACTATCATTAAATCCATGAATTCCAAAACAGCACAAGTTCACTTCTCAAAATTACCAATATATATTACCCGTATAACGATTTTCAGCTTCCCCAGATTTATTTAATAATATTAAAAATGTCTACTGAAAATGTACGTGTACCGAATGCTTGCAACAGGAATCATTGAAGAAGATAACGAATGAATGAACGAAGTTGAAAAGAAAGATTGATTCTCAGAAAATGTTGATTAGCTGATTTGTACTATTTTGGGGTTCGTGGCTTCAATTGTCAGTCTGAACTAGCCTTTACGCGCTCCACGTGAATGGGCGCAACCTTTCGTGCCGGACTTTCGCGCGGACGCGAGAAAGTCGCCGCGGAATCCGCGGCACGGCACCGAGAATATAATCCGAGGTTCATCGTGAATATTACCGAGGCAATTACACGACGAGCGGCGGCGAGCGTGGCTGACCGGTATCCACCAGACAACTCCGCGAATTACGATTTCCTCCTGGCACTTCTGACACACCTGATTGAATCTCGATGACTTCCGGCGGTCTACCCGCCGACGGACACCGGTGAAAGTACCTTTATTTTAGCATTGATTAATCGTGCCGATCGACGGAAGCCGTTGAACACCGCGAATACCTTCGTACGATTAATTGGTACCGCGCCGGGGCTTTGTTAATTGTGGGAATAACGTTTCCTGTATCGGAAAGAATGGAATTATCGCGTGCACGTATATCGATTTCACTATTTTATTCGACATCAATTGGCACCGTGTTGGTTCGTTAATTTCTTTCGACAGAGCTTTCTACGTTTGGTAGGATTAAATTGTTGCACGCTCGTCGGTGATGTTTTGTATTATTCGGAATTAATTGATACCATGCACGCTCCGTTAATTTCTTGTTACGTTTCCTGCATTTGACACGGAATTAAATTGTGAATCCGTACTCGCTTTTCCTTTTCTGTTGCAAATTAATCGAGTCTGGCTTGCAACTCTCTATTTCTCGGTTCTTCCTGTTCATTCGTTTGTGTATTATTTATAGGGGAGGATCTTAGAAACGTTTGTTGTGTTAGAGGAAGGAGGTAAGGGTCGCGGCAGGTTTTATTTTTGAACGCGTCTCACCTGGAGCCGGAAGTTCAACCCTCAACTCCGAAAACCAACAATGTTTCCTCGAGAAACTGAACGGTTGTGAAGGTGTCATTGTTGAAAGCGTCCGGTTTTCAATTAATTTTATGATTTTATTCAAATGAAACATTCGTCGCTGCGTTTATTGAGAAGGTTCTATTGAGATTGTTAAACATTTCCTCGTGTGGACTATTATTTTAGAATGTAATTTCATATCACTGAACAGAGTGGATCCAGCGAATGTTTTAATTCAATCGATTTTCAGTTACTAAATGAAGAGGCGTTTAATAAAGTCACATGATCACGCGTGGAGAATTTTCGCCCCCTTCCCCCTACGGAACAGGCACCTGCGTCACCGTGCCCCCTATTTACGACGTATCAGGTGATGGTGAACTCAAGACCGTTTTACCGAAACCGGTAATTTTCCCTTAGGCTAAAACAAGATGCAAATCTATTAAAATTTCCTGAGAATGAATGCGCAACCATTCCCTCGGCTCGTGAAAGCTGTCGCTTCTTGGCCCAGAGAAAATGCAGTTCAGGAACTTCAGAAGAAATTGCGTGGAAAAGTGCTAGGAAGCATTCTTGGGCCAACTACTTTACATTGTTAATGTGCGGACTTGTTATTGAAAGAACCTACAATGCCCTTTCCGTCTTCCACGGTTCATTTATTCTTCCGAGAGCGAAAGGAGGGAAAGATTCTACAAGGAAAGAGGAAAAGATGGTTTCAGTCGTAAAAATGTTAATGACGATGAATGTTAAGAAAGGAAATAACTTCTCATGGTAAATTAAGAAGATAAATATCCCTATAATACTTATATTAGATTATAATTATTGTACTTGCAATAATTACATATTGACAATTAAATATTAGTTCCACGTTTAGTCTAACTGTTAAAGAAACGAATTGTAGAGAAGTTAAAAGAATTTAATACACATTATTCTTTACTTTAATATAAAATATAATATTAAAAACAGAGGAACCAAGTAATTTGAAGAATTACTTTCGTTTCAATAAATTCTAGATAGATTATGGAATAAGAAGAATTATTTTCGTTTCGATAAATTCTAGATAGATTATGGAATAAGAAGAATTATTTTCGTTTCAATGAATTATAGATAAAAGAGATAATAATAAGACGGAACGTTCTTCGCGGTGCAAGCATAAAAATGTCCCTATTAAGGTGGAGCAACGGTCGTGGCATATCGAGAACCAGAGGAATTCCATTTCACCCACCCTTTCGCCGGCACTTTCTCACAGAGTGCGTCTCTAATTGGCCGGTGGCCGCAGCTGACCATTCCGCAGATGCGACCGTTTGAATCTGGATCCGACGTAAGGCGACAACGAGGATCTAAGGAAAGTATAATTTTTCACTTTAACGACCGATGACCATCGGTGCCCGCTCTTCCTTTCAAGTGAATATGCGACAGCCACCCTTTGAATCCTCTTTCCTGCAATGGTCACACCTCCTCGGTGCTCCTTCTTTGCTCGCACACGTACGGGGGCTCACTAATGATGCGACCGATTTGCATATCAATCGCGATTTACCATCCTGGTTGCGTTATGGCTCCGTAATGGCTTTCGGTATCGCCTGGTTGCGACGCGCCGCTCTGATCCCGCTTTCACCGTATTTGGTGGGCGAAATATGAACGGACTTGGTCACTCTATTTTTGGATGTAACTGTCCCCGCTGGTTCCTCGCTGAATAATTGCCGTTTTATTGTACTTTTTTTGCAAATTCGAAGCACTCTCGGATGCGTCGAACAATTCAAACGGTTTTAGTAGCGCTTTAACCTGTTGAATGGGACATTTTTTTTACTTTTCGACAGGTTTCCGATTTCTATCTTTTTCACTGTAAAATATCATTGTATGTCGAACTGTGAAATATCGTTGCAACCTTACTAATTTTCGAGTTGCTAATATTAAATGAATTAAATATGGATTATTCCATCAATATTTATTGCAATAAAGTTCCAAATATATTTTTATAACGAATATTCAACCAAAGTTACAAGAAATAATAAAATCAAATAATTCCATTCTTACATGGTCCACAAAATTGTAATACCCATTATTTTACTCTAACAGAAGTAATTTTGTTGCCGTTATTCATCGATTTCCGTCACTGAACGGAAGAGTCTTCAGATGTTAGACGGATAGATCGTGCCTCCGCGGGGAGGCGTCAGAACGTCATACGCCTCGAATAACCACGCGACAGATGTTGAGTCGTTAGCAGGCCATTATACGAGTGTCGTCACGCGTCTCGAAAACTCGGATTTCCATGTATCCAGAAGAATCCACGGGCCTCCCGCGCCGACAATGGATGACGTCGTTTGCAAATATTCTTGTGAGGCCATTGTGACCGTCGCCAACTCCAATGCACCGGGGGACAATCGAATCAAAGAGGCTAGGCTGGCGAGATCCGCGCGGAACAACCCGCCGTTCAGACCCGCGCCCGCCCTCGAACTTTAATATTCAAAACGTATTTTGAAAATATTTTCTGCGCTGAGTCATCGGTGAACAACGCTGGCCCGACTCTTCGAACCCGTTGCGGAACAAATTGCAAAATTGCACCGTGGATCGTTCTAAATTCTAAGGCGTCGGTTCCTCGGGCATTCGGAATCCTTAGGCGAAGTTAATATTTCTTTTGCGTGTATATTAATGCCATATTCATGAATTTGTAGAAAAATATAAAATTCAAATGTATTGATCTTATAATGTTAATACAATTTTTATATATTTCGTAATGATTACGTTTGCCGTGTATTTATCCTGTTTGTAAATGATAATACAAGTGGAATGTTTCGTATAAAAAGAAGGAGTATAATTATCAAATTTACGAGACGTCTCATTACAGAAAGAGAAGATGCAACATTCCGCAGCGTGTCCTCGGAGATCACGCGGCCATACATAATTCTCCGCTCGACCCAATTCATCAACTTAAAATTCATTTAACGTGTACGAGCTGTACTCGCCCAAATTGCCCGAGCGAATAATTCCGAGTA